ACGAAACGTAAATTGTTAGAAAAAGGATCATGTATATTTAATGTGGACTGTCAATAATGTCTCTTATTTTCCGTCTCTCTCTCACTCAATTCCAGCAAACGTTCACACATTATATATAGAATAAAAAACGAAAGTAGACGTTGTAGGATAATTAACGAGCAAATGACAAATATTCTACAACATTGTCGACAGATAATCAGAAAGAATGTTCATCCAAGCAAAATTTGAAAAGGCAACATTTATCACTAATGTTCATTACATAATCTAATTTCAGTGATATATATTTACCAAGTAAAACAACACAAATGATCATTATCTACGTCGCAGGAAAATGATAATTGCTTATTTGGATACAAGTATCTTGGTAGGTGGTATTTTATGTTCTTTTGTCGAAGTCGAAGAAAGTTTCTGTCTATTGTTGTTGTGTATGGTAGTTCTTGGGTTGTTTCTGTCTATTGTTGTTGATGGTGGTTTTCTAAATGTTTCTCTCCGTTGCTGTTGATGGTAGTTCTCTGGTTGTTTCTGTGATAGTTGTTGATAGTAGTTCTCTAGTTGTTTCTGTCTAATGTTGTTGTTATTAGTTCTTTAGTTGTTACTGATGGCGATTCTTTAGTTGCTTCTATCATTGTTGTTGATGGTGGTTCTCTGGCTGTTTCTGCCTATTATTGTTGATTGTAGTTTCCGTCATTGTTTTTGATGGTGGTTTCTAGTTGTTTGTATCTAATGTTGTCGATGATAGTTCTCTAATTGTTTCTGTTTAATGTTGTTAATAGTAGCTCTCTAGTTGTTTCTGTCTATTGTTGTTGTCGGTGATTCTTTAGTTGTCTCAATTTATAGTCGCTGATGGTAGATCTCTGGTTGTTTCTGTTATTGTTATTGATAGTAGTTCTCTAGTTGCCCCTGTCTATTGTTGTTGATTGTTGTTCTCTAGTTGTTTATATCTATTGTTGTTGATAGTAGTTCTCTAGTTGCCCCTGTCTATTGTTGTTGATTGTGGTTCTGTCATTGTTTCCGTCTATTGTTGTTGATGTGGTTCTCTAGTTGTTTATATCTATTGTTGTTGATTGTTGTTCTCTAGTTGTTTATATCTATTGTTGTTGATTGTTGTTCTCTAGTTGTTTATATCTATTGTTGTTGATTGTTGTTCTCTAGTTGTTTATATCTATTGTTGTTGAGTGTTGTTCTTTAGTTGTTTATATCTATTGTTGTTGATTGTTGTTATCTAGTTGTTTATATCTATTGTTGTTGATTGTTGTTCTCTAGTTGTTTATATCTATTGTTGTTGATTGTTGTTCTCTAGTTGTTTATATCTATTGTTGTTGATTGTTGTTCTCTAGTTGTTTATATCTATTGTTGTTGATTGTTGTTCTCTAGTTGTTTATATCTATTGTTGTTGATTGTTGTTCTTTAGTTGTTTATATCTATTGTTGTTGATTTTTGTTATCTAGTTGTTTATATCTATTGTTGTTGATTGTTGTTCTCTAGTTGTTTATATCTATTGTTGTTGATTGTTGTTCTCTAGTTGTTTATATCTATTGTTGTTGATTGTTGTTCTCTAGTTGTTTATATCTATTGTTGTTGATTGTGGTTCTGTCATTGTTTCCGTCTATTGTTGTTGATGTGGTTCTCTAGTTGTTTATATCTATTGTTGTTGATTGTTGTTCTCTAGTTGTTTATATCTATTGTTGTTGATGTGGTTCTCTAGTTGTTTATATCTATTGGTTGATGTGGTTCTCTAGTTGTTTCCGTCTATTGTTGAAGATGATGGTTCGCTGGTTGTTTCTGTCTATTGTTGTTGATTTTTTTTTTCTATCTGGATCTATCCTCGATTTTTTGCAGTACCCTTTTCATAAAAAAATTTCGAATAGGCGAATGTGCTTTATGTTATCAGTGTTCGAATAAATAAAAGATTAATGACAAGAATTTCTAATCTTACTTCAGGGAGTATAAAATCTTCAGGAAACATTCGTCAGTAGACGTTAAACATACGACATGCCAACAACAATTAACACTACCTTGTCAATTTTTAGCTTCTAAATACCGTAAAGAGTCTAACGGGATACTCATTTATTACTCGTTTTGAACAAGTCTGAAACTAATTTAATTATAGCTTGATATATCGCACTAAACCTTCTTGATTGATATTTCTTCTAACTGAGCTTTAAACATAATAATTTTATTTCTTGTAAAAAATGGAAAATCTCTTGGAATTGAATTGATTTAAACGACAGCTGCTAATTTGATAAACATTTTTTACCACGTAATAATTCTTATTATTAATTTTCCATCTTTCAAATTAAATTTAAGTGAAGTTGACTTTTTTTGCTAATTTTTTAAAAATATGCTGAAAATATTATTTGATTTCTCTATACGTGTTTGTTTATTCCTTAGATATTGTGTTTTAGATGTTTGAATATAAACTTAAAAACAGTTTATTCAAATGTTTTCTCATTTCCGTGCAGAAATCCGAACAAAATAACTACATCATCTAAGATTTTCTCTGAATTGGTCCAGTTTCAGACAATTACTCACCTTTTAATTCTTTTTGGTTATGTACAGTGGTAATTCCACAACAGAAAACAAATAATTTACGATGGGTGTCGATTGAATGGAATTGCAAACTTACTCCACCGGAGAATCTAAAATCACTCATCGAGTGGGTTTGTCAATTCGCAAACGTAATTTATTTGTGTGGTATATTTATTTCCACCATGTAAGACCCCCCTCATTGCCTCTGTCCCCTATTACCTCATATATCCACTTTCGCACACGGTGGCCTTAATACATCGAATCTAATGAAAATATAGAGGTAAAACGGTTGTTTGATGTTTATCGCCAATGAAATATTATAGAATCCTGAATGGACAGATGTTATAGCCATTAGCTTGGAAATGGACCCATGTTTTCACACATTGTTTAATGCCAATTAAAGTCTATAAAAGGATGGTGTAATTTATGGACTTGGACTATAAACGCCTTGCACAATTCAAGCGATCATGTGTAAATAGAGGTTATTAGCAGCAGTCTAAGGGACACGCCTACTTGCCATTTATGGCGGGCATATTAGACGGCTAGTTGGGTATTTATAGACCAATTTTATAGTTGTTTAATTAGCTCTCTCCTTGCTTTTATTGACTCTACTAAATTGTTAGCATTGTCTACTAAATTATTCATTATAGTTTTATAGCCTTATTTCTAGTCTCTCGTTTTAATAATCTGTGAGGTTTGATTGTCGGAGAAAAGATGGTAGACTTGGATCGTGTTATCCAACTAATAATTTAAATTTAATGCCAAAAGTAAAGACTTACACGTCAATATTTGTCCAGAGTACAATATAGCACACTTGAATGTTTGAAATCTGATCGATGCAAGTTTTGAAAGACCGCCATCAGAAATTTCATGATATGTTATTAACCGGATATGACTAATGAATGAGCATGGAATAACCACCAGATAGCATATGATTATGATTTATTGGGAAGACAGTACCATATAAGATGATTTATCAAATGATTATGAATGAAGCATTATTTACATAAGATATATAGAAATAAGAAATACATGTATATACAAATAATAACTTGTTAAAGCCATTGGTAATGCACGGCATGATTTTATCGTTGCTGAGCCAGTTACAATAGTCCTCTTGGCATTAGATACCACTTATTTGAAAAACTCGAAAAATGTCCTCAATGGCTACTCAAAAGGACAGAATCGAATTCAATCAGAATTAAAGATGTACATAATTCTTCATATTTACACAATATTTAAATCAGAGCAGTGTCATTAAGTCACAGACGCTGTGTTAGAAGGAGCCAATTTTGAAAGAACGGCGGTCAGAATAAGCTCAAGACAAGGTAGGAAGACCAGAATCTTAAAACTACTAGGAGTAAGATTGGTGTTCCAAGAAATTACAGTTCTTTCTCTAGTGATACCCAGCTTCGTCTTGTCGAAGATTAACATTCTTTGCACTTGATCATGGAATTCGGGATGACGATTGATGTTTCATGAAATAATGGTTCAATCTCTAATTCAAACACTGGTTAGGATCAAAAGATGGGAAGAACTGCCGTATGGACTGGGAGTTGAGCTTAATGACGTGTTCTACATCTGTATCTGTACATCTCACATTATATTTATCATATATACTATCAGTTAAACACATTATACCATTTAATAGATGCCTGGAATATGATATTCATTAATTTAATATTAGATTTAACAGGGCCGTAGGCTGGGACCCGATGTGCTTTAGGTGTATTTATTGGCTAACTTTACCCAGTCCCATATCAGGAAATAACTCATTTCCTCAGTCCAATAATTTTCATGAACTTCTTACAGACTTTTGCAATTTTACATTGTTTAAATAATATGCTATTAAGGTAAATACCACCTATAACACTCGCTGAACACACCCTATCGTGTCCACCACAAGAAGCTAAGGCATAATGCATAGTTGGTAAAATTCAGCATTCAAAACATTGAACAACGGTTTGCGATGGTAGAGGAATATATAGGAAGGGGGATAACTCATATATAAAAAGTGAAACCACAGCTATTTTGAAAAGCGACACTTTCTATCTAAATGTTTAATTTTATTACTTACATGCATCTTGATTTATTATGGTCTGTTCTAATTATTTGAAAGAAATAAGAGCGACAGTTATTTAAGTACTGTAAAACTACATCATTGTCTTGACACGGATTGTAACCACTGGTAGCTGAAATACAAAGACACAAACTGGTATTGCAAGGCCTAGACGATGAATATCACATTAATACAGAATTCTAAAATAATAGATATTTTTACTATGAGATAAAAAAAATTCCCATAAGTAATGGCGTTTGACAATACCATATACCCCACGTAATTCCACTAGCCATTTATTCAAGACTATATATTTGAATAAATATCAAAGCAGCTGTGCCATATAATCAGATGTATGCATAGTAAAATTTCCTTTCGTGCCGTTGATATCAAAATAGCTATTGAAATGTTTTTATGCTCCTCTTATAACAACTAATGAATCATTATGCTTACCGATTGTAGATTGGGTTTCATTCACTCCATTGGATAGAGTTTTATTCAACTCAGTCTGCCAAGGCCGTTGTATCAGAGTCTTGTTTGTGTTCTGAATCTCATGTGTGTATTCCTCATTGGTCTCGGTGAGGTTTCCAAAGTCATTTGTTGCATTTGGCTCCATGTCATCAAGAAGGTTAGCTCTTGTATAGTGGCTAGTTGAATTCAATAATGCCACTATATCAGATGGTGTAGTCACTGGTGCCAACTGTTTAGAGTCTATTCTGTTCGCGCCATTTGATTCAACAGAATTTTCACGAGAATCCATTGAATGTCCTTTGGTTTTATTCTGAGATTCTAGTTTAGTCCCATCGGACTCTTTGTGCGACTTGTCGCCTTCTAAATTCAACCGGGTTTTTTCCTTTGATGAGTCCAATTCATTGTTGGATCTGCGCGTCGATTTATTTTTTGGATAGAAAGACACATGTGCCTTGGAATGAGCATGTTCCTCTTTGTCTTTATTCACCTTCTTTTTATTTTTATTGAGAACATGAGTTATGATTCCCGGTTTATGGATCAATGGCGGTGGTGTCAGTACACCCTCGCCATCCTTCGGGACGTGCACTTTTGGAGGAGTTACACCGTGAGGTAATATAGCTTTGTGATCTTTAGGTAATGATGATTGTGGCGGCAGAGGCATAAAGTTTGAGGGACCAAGATTTGAATCATAATCCATATCCAATGCGTTCTCTTCATTTAGGTCTTCTTTGCCTGAGGCAGTACCGGCTGCAGGTGGAAATGGCATAAAATTTGATGGTCCGAGATGAGCCATACCACCTACTGGATGTCCAATAAAGTCTGGTACAGAATCATCTTTTCTGTCGCGAGTTTCCCTGATTCCTTGACCTTTCTTTGATTGACCATTCTTTTTGTGATACTGCTCAGAAGCGGGAATGTCACCTTTGGTGTTCATTGGAAAATCAGCCCCTGCCGCTGCCGATATAGGTAACGGATGTACTAATATATCAGTTTTGTTTTTGTGTAAAAGCATCGATTCAAAGTCCTCGTTAAGTTGTCTTTGGCCTAAATGATTAGCAAGAAGGTCTGGAATGATGTCTTCTTCACTGGAGGTGATATTTAAGTCATTTTCAATTAGATCGTGTGGCTGATCATGGAAATGCGACGGGTGGTCAAAATAATCTTTGCCTGGTTGTCTTGTACTTGCATATTCTAAATGATGTAGATTGAACAATGGTTCTTCCATTTCACCATGTTCAATATGTTCTTCCTGAACCTCCTCTCTGTGGTGTCTGGAGAAGTCGATTTTCTCAGAGTTTGGCACCAAGGCTGGGGTGTCTTCGGTATCACCATGATTCTCATTTGGTAATATAGAATTAGGAAATGGGTTTCCACTCTGAGTTGAATCGAAATAATGATGATCTCCGGATGTGTCGAACGACGGTCGCTTAATATCTCGTATATGTGGTATAACTTTAGAAGTAGTTGTTGGTGGAGGAGTGATATGATCTTCAAAGGTTTCTGTCAGTTCTCCTGATCCTGTTTCAAGATCATCTACTGAAGTTTTGGTACTTGCACTAGCACTTTCTTTTATTTCTTTGGTGGTTCGTGGGAGTACAGGGTTTGGAGTACTTATTCGATTGGGAAAGTTGAAAGGACGATTCATGTTTCCATGAGGCCAGTAATTGTCAAACCTCTCATCCACAGGGGGCGATTCCTTAGCCAACTCCTCGGGATCTACCATGTTGCTTTCGTGGTGTTGACTTCTCGCTGTATTCCTATTCATGCCAGCTAGGATCCGGTCATATTCCATCGCTTTAGATCGGTCTCTCGAATCTCGGATCGAATTTTCTAGTTTGTCCCTAGAATTCTGGGAATAGGGTTCGTGAGGTGGAATGTGATTATCACTTTGTTCTAAGTCTGTCAGTTGGGGAACATGTTCTTTAATTGTATTTGGTAAAGTTGCCGTTTCACGACCATCAGCTGCAAAATCTGTGGCACTAAAAGAATTCAGAAAAGGAACCTCCTCAGCATCTGTGTCATTCATGTCAGTGATCCTATCAGGAGGGTCGTCAATTGCTGTCAGATGACCATCATATGATTTGTTATGAAATGATTTAGGATCGTTTTCGTTGGTCGACCAGAATACCGATTGGTTGTTTATATGATGAAATGACACATTTCCGTGTTCAGGACGACCACTGCCATCTTTATGCTTGATTTCATGATGCACTTCAGAGTGCGAACTGTTAGAGCCAGGGCGGTGATGATGGCTGTCGACCTCTTTATGAAGAAAATGTTGAGTGTTGTTTGTACTATGATTATGGCCATCGTGGTCACTAAAATTGTGGAACCCTTTTTGGTCTTCCATGTGGCTAAGATTGTGGGTTTTATTTTGATGATGGTGATAAAACGTCTGATCATGACTATGTTCATGATTTTGTTCGTGAGCCTCAATATGACTTCCATTCTGGGTATGATTATGTTTTGGGTGATCCAAACTATGATAATGATTGTTAAGATGAACAATAGATGAGCTATTTCTACTGTTATGCTGATGGGAGGCATTCTGGATGCCTTGGTGTATGTGATGATGGGTAAGACCGCGGCTGTCGTTATAATCATAATGATGATGATTAATTTGCAGAGAACCGTTGATGCTCTTACTAGGACTAGATTTTTTGGTTAGGTTTTTAGGCTTCTGTTGTTCTTTAGTATTATCCACTTTCGTTTTTGTAGTAGTGGTCGGTTTTGGACTTTTGTTTGATATAATTGTAGGTGTTGTTGAGACTGTAGTGGGTTCTGTATTCGGCAATGTTTTCGATGGTGTAGTAGTCACAGTGGTTTTTGTATCAGTGTTCTTTTGTTTCCTGGTAGAAGGCTTTGTGGTTATGGATAGAGTCGTTGTAGTTAGTTGATTTGCTGTTGTACTTGATTCAGTTTTATTTGTGCTTGGAAGCGTAATCTCATGTTGTAATTTGGTGGTGGAAGGAATAATAGTGGTCGTCGTTGGTGGCTTCTTCTTCTTTTTTTTGCCTTTATTTTTGGATTTCTTTGTCATTGATGAAACATTGGTGAAGGTCGTCGAATGTGGTACTTGTGAAGTCGTAGTAGGTTGTCGTATTTCTGTAAGTATTTTTGGTTTTGGAATATACTTGGTTTCTGATTTTATATCTGAAAGTAGTGAAATAATCAAAATGATTAGTAAATTAACACGCAAATCGTTTTTTTTCATTATCGTGCAAATATAGAAAAAATGCTTCCAAATAGGCATTAGAATTCTTAGAATTATGTCCCTTTGAGATACAAATTGAACTCATTGTTTCTCTGTGTCGTTTGACAAAAATATGTGCATCAGAAAGTGCGGAAGTGTGTCTACATGTGGGCAACCAGTCAAAGCTGTTTTGCTTGTCAGTTTGTTTTCTTACCCGGATTATGAGAATCAGCTATCTTTAAACTTCTTTTATCAAAGACAATCTTCGAAGCAGGCATATGGTTGGATTTTAATTTCTTTATGAATTTACTTCTTTTTTCTAAACCTTGTAACATCATGGCCTTAATAGTATCCGATTCTATACCTCTCCTTGAATTTAAAACCACAATAAAATCAACTATCACACTTCCAGGGCTGAAATAGAAAGATTAAAGATGACACATGGAAGATATGAAAACAGTGGCTTCTTACCGGGAGGAAAGAAGAACGAAAATATCTCAGAAAGAAACTAACCCAGTTGCAGCATTTCAAGACTTGTGGAAGTTAAAATAATCAATGAATGCTGCAATTTCATTAATTTTTACAATAGTCTATAGGTTATTATCGAAATTTTGAGTAATACGATGGATGTTCGACCAAGAGACCTTTATCTGGGAGCTTTGGGATTATGGTAGTAGACAAAGAGAATATCAACGTTATTTCTATCTTTCCTTACTGAAATCATAATATAGTGAAAACAATATAATATTTATGTCTTAAATGATCCAAGATGGCTATCTTCATATCTTCCCAATTGAGTTTGGCAGTTTCTAGAAAATGATATTTGCTTGAGTGTCAGTTTTCGACTAGGAGAAGGAACGGTTTGTAGATCTAACACAGTACATTGAAGTTTTCTATCGCTTCACGTAGCCTTGCACCTCTGACAATGCTTACAAATGTTATTGTAATCAAACTGACAGAATTGCGTAGTAGATTGCTTTATAAACCCACCTAAGATCAACAACAACCGTACGGTTATATCTTTCTACTAGTGGACCTATTTCAAATACGTGATTCAACTGAAAAATAAATAATATACAGAGTTTCGTGAAAAAGTCACGACATGATAACAAACTGGACATGACAAGACATGTTTACAATATTCATTAAAACAATGAATAAAATACTCATTGCTAAGGAATATTAGAGACATAATGACTGAATCATAGATAATTCCCATAGTTCCCAAAAATTGCATCAAGCACTCAAATAATGAATAATCTTTTTAAGAGTAACTTTACATGTAGCACCCAAAATATCATTGGCTTCTTTAGTAAAGGCTTGAAAGTATGGAAGTGCAGAATTCGCGTAAGTGTTATTGTAATGACGAACGCAAGAAGTAGTGCTTACCTCCTTTTGAATATGATTAGTCACAACTCGGTAAAGTTCCTTAGCATGGTTTCCTAAATCAGGCATCCATTTTAAACTTGTTATTCGTATTCTTCCTTCAAAATCAACCTCTAGAGAGCACATAGTATAGTTAATGTAGTCGCATATCATGGCCTGAACATAGTTATTACAACTGGTTCTGTCATGCTTAAACGTTATATAAAGATACATTTTCTCTTCGAAAAAAATTTGGAGATGACAATGAATGAAGTGAGCGGAAAGCCCTGCTCTGTATAATCACTTGCCAATGAATACTTTAGTGTATGCACTACTCGGATAAGGATTTGACCAGCCAAACAAAGACCATTTGAATTTTCTATAACATTTATATTATCGCTCTACAACTGATGTATTGAGAATTATTTTATAAGTGAAAACATTTTAAATTATGTTGAAAGACTTACGTTTGATTTCTTTAGTTGCTTTATAATCATGTGATTGAACATTAGAGGTTGAACTACTTGGTGATACTTGACGATCTGAATTGACTGAAAAAATAATAGTAATAATGAATTGACTGATTGAAAGGAGATTATTCTGAATTGACTGAAAGGAACAATTCTGAATTGATTGGAAAAAAAATTCTGAATTGACCTAAAAGAATTAATTTTGCAATGATGGAAGAGAAATAATTTTGATTTGACTGGGAAAAATATACGATCGAAAGGAGATTTGACAGAAATAATTGTGATTTGACTCAAAACTGAACAAAACTCAAAGTCAAAGGAACGAACCTGCATAATGTATGATAAATCCCAAAGCAACTGAAGTTATAACGATAACAATACCAAATGTGATGAGTCCAATACAAAATTTAGATCGAGGTCTTCTATATACACTGGTAGAGCTCGATACTGAAATGAGAAATGGTGTGTAAAGCGAAAGATATTATGCTACTCCCGTTTCAGGTTTCCAGAAGTCTACCCAACATGTAGTGGGATTTAAACGATTAAAACGCTTTCAACAGTTTATTTCAAAGAACTCTCTACTTTGAAAGATATAATGAGATTCATTAACATCGGCGGAACATTCTGCTGATGAATTACCATAGAATCAGCATCTAGAATCTGCAACCTATACACTGCTGATAAACTAACATTTAACGTGCAATCCTTTTAAAACTGTCGATACTTAAACTCGAAAATAAAACCAAACTATTCATGTTTTTGAGTAACATAAAAAAAGCCTTACGATCCGAGCACACATATTGGATAAGTAAGTCAAAAGAAAATGCCTGACCTGTAACGTGGTTGGGGTTATCATAAACAACAAATCCGTATTCCATAGACTCTACATTACTGGAAGTAAGATGATCGGTGGAACCCAGCCCTGGGCCCAGCTGGGTCATATGAAACATCACGCAGTTATCCAGGGCTCTAACATACTGCTATCACTTCAAAAATATTCTATATCAAGGATGTAGCCTACCTGTTTAAATATAAAGTAGCAAATGGAATATGGTCTGTCCTCTGGCTCATATAATGACATGAATCGCCTTGTTTTGGGCACAAAATACAAGATAGTAACTAATTAAAAATTATTTGTGTAATATATCCTTACGATGTTTAATAGGAAATCTAATGTTTTGGTCGTGCCCATGAACAGTATGATATAAACATAAGCTTTTGATATTATTCGGACAATTACATTATGTTCAAATAATAACAAAATATCAGGCTCACCGGTTTAGCTAGGAAGTCCAAATAACCAAATCACATATAAAGTCCAAATTATTACAAAATATATTTATAATATAACAAATTAATCCCAATTTTCAAATACATCCAGAAATATTGAAATAGTATTATTAACTTGTTAAAAACAGACCACAATATTCAAGGTAATAATGTCTTCTGAATTTCTCTTTATCAAACTTTCTCACGTTGACATCACGTCATTGCACGCTTAGAAAATTGTAGAAAGTGAGGGGTCGGGGTATGTTTGTTCCGGTCCCATGTCGTGATGTTTCTGATATTGATATTACGTGTTGCCTTAGACAACAACAAATACTGACTGTAAAACTACAAGCCTTTTGGTCACCTTTCTTGTATCAATGTAAACTTCACTCGTTGGTTCAAACACCTGAAACGCCGCAAAAAATACACAAAAACAAGCCGTTATCGACAAATAACATCTAAACATCGCTTGCTACCATACACAGACCCCCTTTTAGAAAATTGACTGTAGTATTTAAGTGTGAAAATAACTCAAATTTACACATATCTGACTCGCAAATGATATCTAGTGTATGCTGAAATCGATATTAAAACGTATTTCGAATTTTCAAAAATGGCGGTAGCAAGCTTATCCAAACATCAAAAATCCATTTACATTATTTGTTGATTTCTTTGAAGTTTGACAATTTAAAAAGATAAACAACAAGAAAATAACATATCCTTATTTGTTGAATGTTTTAGTTGATCTAAAAAGTTGGACTGAACTCATCTTGATATGGTATGTAGAGAATTCGTTAGCCATATTACATCACTACGCCGAGCACCATTACCTCTGTACCTTGGCCATCACACTTTCATAACAATAAAAAGCAACATCTAATTTAAAGCAATTGTATGATACAGTTTGTGGTCAAGTATTTCAGAACAGCTTCAAATTCAGACAGAAGTCTCGACATCAGGTCAATATTAGCTCTGGTCAACTAGGGTTTCAAAACATCTCATTGGATCGGCACCAGACTTCGCGGAACGCTGAAATTGAGAAATTGATTCCCAATACTAGCAACTGCTCTCCAGGGGATTCTGCCTCTCTGTGGGCATTTTTAAGATAAAAGAGAACATATGCATATGGCGATGCTCTTGAGTCGACTTCATCCGTCAGTTGTTAAAAATCTCCTGCGATGTCACTAGTCGCAAGGTCAACCTGGAGCACTCTGAAAATGTTTATAACGGAACAACACGAAAACAAATCCAAAAAACAGAAAGAGTAAAGATATTACAAAGGATCCTAAGAAATTAAACGATTTGAAATTACGACTTGTGGTATGGACTAGAAATGATATTCGGGAAGGTAGAGTGTCAATATTGGATTGTTGAGAAATACACTAACTAAATAGACTAGATCTTTATATTGTAGACAGAAGCTTTGATATCATCTTTTCTCAAATACGACTAAATAAAATCAAATATAGCCAACTTAAACAGATTGTAATGTAAAGTATGTTTAGAAATTACGCCAACTTTACTGACCATTGCTCATCTACTGGGGGAAGGCATGGTCCAGATTATGTGTGTAGTGTGTTTGGAGAGGGGGAATGTGGATATTACAGATGACAACAAAGAGACAAATTTTGAATTTTAGTTTTTTTTTTTCAATTCTTTTTAAGATTATGATTAGAATCGTATTGGACACAATGTATAGTATTCAACAAATGCATTAAACACGTTGTTTATATGATTTTGGTTAGAAAAATAATCCAGTACATTTCGGTGCAATAGCCACACCCATCAGATAGAGCATATTATTGCAGTCTGATTATTTTTGATTACGTCCCCTAGATGCTTGTAGAAATTTGTTGTGGACTGAATTCTTGCGTTTAAGAGGTACAATTCGTCTGCTAAATATGAAGTCTCTGACACCCAGACTCGTTGCAGATTTTCGTAGACAAAATGAGACTGGATGATAGAAGCTAGCAAATATGGCATGGAGTGTTGCAATAATAAACAAAATGCTGACATTTTTGCTGATGATTTGCTGAGTTTAGCATCTGATGAAATTGACAGTAAGATATCTCATGAAGAAAGTGTGGTCTAGCGCATACACAACGTAGATTGAATTCGTTTATTTGTAAGTAGACTTATATGTAGGCTACTTTTCTTTCTCGGTGAACAACTTTGACCTCATAATCATATCTGAACGAAGCACAGACAGGTAGGCCTACTCGTGGACAAGCTAGTCTCTGGTGAAGCATTTGGGACTGATATTTACTTTAAAAGAGTATATATATGGAACAAAGTGGAAGGTGAAGAAAGATAAGACTCAGCACCAGCTCAGATCAATCTGGGGCCTATTTTTTTTTTTATTTATAACTTATGTTTTACTGCATTTTTTCAGTTTTTGCAAGTTTAAAGATTGAGTTGTGAGTAGCCTAGATAATGGCAAGTAATAGATTATCAACCAAAAATACTTTATTGAGTTCTTTAACTCAAACATCTTCTCTATTGTCCTCATCATGTCTGTCCAGTGGTAAGTACCATAGCAAGCACCTTTACCTGGGTATACGGTACCGAAAGAGGGTTCTCTGGGCGGTAGTCCGAAGCATCTGCAGAAAATCCCCACAAAACAGGCTTAGTTTTTCTATCTCTACACTAGCCATTAACTTTCAGAATTTCTATCAGAGGTTTAAATAGAGGTAGATGTTTGTATCAATGTCATTTAGACTGACATGGAAATAGTGCATGAAATTATTTGCTACAAATACTAGCAGAATATTTATTCAGCATAGAATTTGTGTAGTTTCTCTTTTGCAACCTATTTATTATAAATTTTGTAAAGACTATTGGAGTCTTCAAAATTCTTATGATTTTTTTTCCTTTCAAGGGCTAACATCATCCAGTTTTATGAGCACTAATGATGCCAGGAAGAGAAAGTTTGATATATCGAATGGTCACAGCACCAAGAAGTCTAAAGAAACATTAGCACCAGTTTCGAAACTTAGTGAAAGTCTGACAGCAAATTTACGTCTGACTTCCACATCCCTTAATTCTCCTTTGTTACAATCATCTCTTCTGAAACCATCTTGTTTGACGTCTGCAAGGGATACAGCAATAACAGATTTTACTGACAGCCATGTTGGAAGACCAAGAGTCAAATTAGATGTGGAGAAAAAGCCTTTGAACATCAAGAGTCAAAAAGTTCAGAGTTCAAATTTAAAGGTTATAAAGCCCACAGTTCAGAAATTGTCCCCAGACTCAGGGAAAGTGGCAAAGAAAAAAGTCAAGAAATCAGATAAAAGTCTACATGATCGTGTTGTAAAATATCATAGTATTGACTACCCTGAATATGACCTGCATAGAGACAGTAATATTATTGGTATACATAGACCTAAATTTATACCACCAAATAAAGACAGAAGTCTACAAGTTACTATAAATAAATCATTAGCTGATGTCAATGGTATCAAGGTAAGATATATATCATGTATGAAATGATGTTTAGCAGGAAGGAAAATAACTTGTTTAACAGATCTTATTCTGTGCAGAAATTGTTGACTTAAAGAGGAGTTGTGTAAAAGTCACTGATGAAGTGATAGTAATGCCATTGTTTCACCTTTCAGCTTGGTTTAATTAATGCTGTGAGTGCATCTTTAATCAGTCAGCCGAACTATAAAGATAGAGGGAATAGAGCTAGAATAGATTTAACAGCATTGACAGAAAGAGTTGTACCATATGATCCAGAATTTGTCTTAAAGGTACGTCTTATTAGTATATATTTTAGTTTGAAGAAATATAACAGAAACAGGGATAATTTCATTGATTTATTTGCTTCATCAACTGATATATCACCATTAAAACTACATCCCAAAATCAATAGACAGATAGAACCTTGGTTCACTCTATCCAAATGGCTTCATTTTGAGTTGTGACTTTTAACCAATCAAAACAGAATTTTCATACAAGATGAGTTATTCATGCATGTGTTCATACCTACAAAACAAACAAAATGGCTACTTTGAAGCTTAATTTCAGCTTGCTATAAAAGCAGTTGTCATTATTGAAATCTTGTTAGTATATCTTGAAAAGTTTATTTTAATTTGATAATTTCAGGTTGCATTGTATTCAAGAAAAGAATTAAATATTCGAACAACTAGCAACTTCCTGTTGGCTCTGGCAGCTAATGTATCAGCTTGTCGGCCATATTTAAAGAAATATTTCTCTTCATCTATAAATTTACCATCAGATTGGATTGAAGTTGCTGAAATATATCAGGTCAGTGACTTGATCAAGAGAGTTAAACGTAATATTATAAACAGATTTAGTCTGATAATATTATTTCTACCAACAGACATTTCAGCTATCAATACCACTGTTGCTGTTTGAAATATTAAGTTCTAGGAGATTCTTTTCACAATATTTTTGTCTTGTGATGATATGAATATGTTTTTTTGTCACTTCAGGCTTTTCATGATGAAACTATAATGCAGGGATCATTACCTGCTGCCTTGAGACGATGTATGATAGCTAAATTTCCTGATTTTGACCAATATCAACTTGGTAGGTATAGTTTATAAAGATATTTTTAAATTTATGTTTTAATCCAGATTGTGTTTACTAATCTTGGCTTTGAATTTATTGAACACGTTGTTGTTATCAATATCCTGCTTATTATTCTCTTTTCTATGTAGGCTATATAAGTTTAAGATCCCTCAGCAATTGGACTAATAAAAATCATCTTAGCAATATGTCCGGACGTATACGGTGTGCAATAGGTCTAATCAATGTTTTTTTTTTAGCCAAATACAACAAAGATACATCAAAGAATAAGAAGAAAAATGATAAGAAGGCTGATAGTAATGATAGAAGGGGATATCAAGGTGGACCAGAGCAAGAAAAAATGGTGAGTTACTGTGTGTTTAAGGATCAGATCAAAAATTGTTCAAAATTTCAAAAGTGTTTGCTTAAAGGGGTGATTTGTGCTTCATAAAACAAGAAGTGTTCATGGGTATTCATAAATATTGTAAAAGTCAATTTTGGTTATGTGTTTAAATGTCAGTAGGTATCTATAATATGCCTATTGAATTGAGCAGTAATGAACTGTAATTTTTTTCAGGGAGTAAATGATGATGAATATATGGAAACAGAAGAAGAAATAGAAAAGATCAGCTTTACAATAAAACAGTTAATACGTAAACTACATATAGTAGAACCAGTGGAGAACGTCATGTGTCTTATTGGCAAAAAGTAAGTTTGTTGTTACCATACATATATGATTGAAATAATCTTTGCATTTTATTGAGTGTTATAAGGATAAAATTAAATTCTCTTCCTTTTTAGTCATGGAGGCTTTACGTACATGATTATGTTAGCCAGTACTGTATATTAGGCTGCATGTGCCAATCATGTCTAATTGGAGTTTTGGAAAGACTAGTTATGTATTCAGCTTTTGTTTTGCTTGAAATGGGGAATTTTTAAATATCAAAAGCTATGTACCCATTAAGCAGCCTTTAATTTCTTGAAATATGAAAAATTTCATATTGCCATTATTGTAATAGTAAGTGAATGGTTTGAAATATATTTTTGTAGGTATCCTGATGATTTAGAAGAGTTCTATAAAAGTCGCTTGCCTGGTACCTGGGATGAAGAAAGAGCGGGAAAAAGAATGAAACTTCCAGTACCAGAAACATGGGAAACTCAAGTTTCATTAAAAGGCAATAAAGCTTCAACATGGGAGCAATTATTAGGTAAACTTCTTTTTGATATTAGAAATTGGAGTGCTAGTTTCAAATAAGCTGTGATGATGACCCAAAGCAAGTCAGAAACATAAGTTGGCCATTAGTCAGGTGGACACTGAGCTGTTTTGTGGAAGCAGAGACATAGCATCAAATTTTTTTTTCTATTTACAGATAATAAGAAGCTACCATTTATGGCTATGTTGAGAAATTTAAGAAATCTCATCAAAGCAGGCATCTCTGCTAAACATCATGGTCAAGTTTTAAAAAGACTCACAGATGAGGTATTCTTTCTTTTACTCTGATCATTTCTGTAGAAAGTAAAGATATCTTAATGAACAATCATTTGTTATGTAAATAATTCAGAAGTAATGGGAATGCATGGGCAGTAGAGAATAATAGGTAGTGAAATTCTAATAGAATAATGTTATAAACTTTTTTTTTGAATATATGTAGAATATTTTCATTAAGAAATAATCTTCTAATCTTTATTTTATTGTGATTATTTCAGAGACAAGTAGTAAATAGCAAACAGTTTCCATTCAGATTTTTCTCAGCATATGCAGCTCTGACACAACTCTATAAAGAATATGATGAAAATCGTAAGTGTTTTCTTTGCTTCTATTTCTCATTTATTGTCCATGAGTTTCTTTACTCAGTTAGAATCTAACAATGTTTATCATGAGGGGTTTCATGAGGACCACGCAATGTGGGCTGCTTACTGAAGGTATTCTATTTATTAATTAACATTTTGTAGAGGCCCAGTTAATAATGGAGGCAGAACAGAAGGCCAGTGGTATTGAACCTCCTACTATAAATATCAGAGGTCGTGGGAGAGGACGTGGAAGGGGCAGAGGACGTGGAAGGGGCAGGGGTGGAAGTGGTACTGTTGAACCTAAAGGTACAGGTACTCAATGGTGGCTTAAGAAGAAAGAAAAGCCAAAGACAACGAAGTAAGCCAATGCTAATTTCATTGTGTTAAAAGCTACAATAAAAATAGTTGTCTCCTATTGATAAGCCTTTATATTACCGTAATTTCTATTTATCATTTGTATTAGGAGAGGGGCTTAATAGAGGGCACAAGATTGTCAATGGAGGCACACAAGTTTTTCTTTCCTTATTGGATATGGAGAGGGAGAAGCAAAGCTGTGACAGCCTCAGTTCACATGTAGAAGCTCCACTGATTGCAGGTCCTGGGTTTCCAGCCTTTTAGATTTAATCTATTCAGACCAAAATTGATAATTTTGTCTTGCAGAGAAGTACCATATGACCTAAATATTATCAAACGTTATAAAAAGGCTCTAGATACAGCAGTACAGATAGCTACAGTTTATAATGTACAGCCTATTAAAGGTCGAACATGGATCTTCTGTAATGTTGGTTATGAAATGGCTCAGCCTTGTACCTCAGCTAGAGGTCTAGGAAAGCCCAGAACAGTAAGTTGATTTTTGGTGTGTAATTTGAGCACATGGCTTAATTATTCATAAATCTTTTACTCTCTCCCAAATCTGACAATTGCCCTGAGTGCCCTTATGTCTAGTTTCAATTCATGTATGTGTACTGTTTAAACTTCCAACAAAGTGTACTGTTTATGTATGAAAGGTTCCTCAATTTTCACAAATATTTGTTTTTTATTATAAATGGATGTTGATGATACTAATTGTAGAAAAAAGAAGTAGCTATATTGATGGGATTGATGTGTAAATATTCATGTGAAGATTGTGAAATGATTATCTATAATAATCAGAAATATGATACAGTTTCTCTCCAGAAAGGAACAATATTAGACAATATGGAAAATGTACTACAAGCTGCTAACAACCCCAGTGAGGTAACTTTATTATTTTAATGATTGCTCAGGTTATTTTGGAGGAAATGAAAGATTACAACAAAGAGAGGAGTGGCCATCTTTAACGAGGTTAACAAATAGATGATCTACTGTCTTCTCCTTTTCCGCACCCCCTGAATCCATATTCCTAGATTATTCGTATCCATAATCTTTAGATGTGTCTCAATTTTAAAATGGCTCATTCATGATCACCACACTTACACATGTCAACCAAGATTAGAACCTGCAACCACCATTTACAAATTTCAAATATCATACAAGAATCATATAAAATCACAAAGAAATTTGATGTATGAAATTATTTGATATGTTATATTATATTTTTTGTAGGATGGTGCGATAGAAGGATTGAACAATGATTTCCCTTCTAAACTACTGTATGATGCCTTACGTGACCGTCAACAGATAGACAATATCATTATACTGAGTCCCTCTGATTTTGATCTTGAGACCTTTTTACCTTTATACAGACGCCTGGTTAATCCTAATCTACTGTATGCTTCTATATCATTCAGTGCTGGTACAGCTAGGTAAGTGCAATATTCATAGATAATTTGACTTTTATTTATCCTTGGCAGGTTCATAGAAACAAGTCGCTTAAGATAAGTTGATGCTGCTCCAATAGCTTGCTCTCTGCATGGTGATGCTTGTCTGTATCACCCTTGACTTAGAATTCTATTTTATTTCATTTTGAAGTATATATTACTATTTTCTGGTTTGAAAATTTGTATCATTGTGAATTTAGCCAACATATTTCCTTAAAAAAAAAAAAAATTGTCCATTTGTTTTTCAGTTTTTCCAGTATTATACCTACCCATGATAATGATATTTACATTGCTGGTTATAGTGACAGTATTCTCAGGTATGTAACTTATTTTACAAGTAATGAGAAATTCTAAAATCAATGCAGAAATAACCATATATAGATTGTTACCAGATTGTTTCCATAGAGCTTGAGATTTTGTTAGACAAGAGCTTCAACAGAATTACAATTTTGTTATTTCCCATTTGCTCTAATAGTAGCATTGGATCGAAAATGTCTCTTTTTGACTGCATGGTAAAGTGGTTTTTACATTAACAAAATAAATATTTGTAGTTAATAGCAGCTTGTTCTGTAGATTTTTTTAAATCCCATTACAGATATATTGCTGAGAAAGGAGATGGTGGACAGTTATTACATGTGAACAATATAGATGAAGCTTATCATCTTAAACCAATGGTACCAGTTGGTCTAGAATCCATACCACAACCAGAACCAGTTACATCACCAGAAAGACCGTTACCTATAGCTTCTAATACTCCTAGGTTAGTTTGTAATGCTAAAATTTTTGTCACTGTCTTTCATGTGCACTCCCAGTTTGCCAAGCTCTTCTTGAGTTAAAAAATGTGCACTATACTCGCAATTATACAGTAAAGGTATAAAGTTGTCTACTCAATTGGTTTAGAAGCATATCTAGAGCTATATATAAGCTGAAGTAGAGAGGTTGACTATGGGTTGGGTTCAAGCCACATTAATTAATCACTTCCATTTGATGTCTCTAGCATATTGCCATGAAAACTGCTCCTCAAAACAAATATCAGACTCCATTAGCAGACAAAAGTGTGCTGGAAAGTAACAAAAATGATACACATATAAATTTCTATGCATGGAAGCAAGTTATTTTTTGCATTGGACACATGACTGAATTTTTGTGTTATTTAAGATGGAGAACAGCCAGAGTATTTATATCATCAACGTTCCGTGATATGCATGGTGAAAGAGATCTACTAACACGATTTGTCTTCCCTGAATTACGAGACCGTGGTTTGAAACATTTTATTAATGTTTATGAAGTAGATTTAAGATGGGGTGTAACAGAAGAACAGACACGAAACCAGAGGTAAGAAGATTTCTGCTCCATTTTGATTATTTAGTGTCATACGTCATTCAAAGTGGCATATTACTTGTATGTACAGGAGTATATAACATATCTTTGAGTGTCTATGAGAGCTTAGAAAATACAAGAGCTAATGTATGTTATTTTCTCCCTCACAAATATTCAGGTTTTTGTTGATACTCATTTTAGAATTTCATTTATTCAATAATGTTAGTGATATTTATTGAACATACATTACAAGAACTTCAAATACTGACAACAAAAGCCCAATTTTATGCAATGTTCTATTTAGACTATGATGTAAATAAATCAATGTTTCAATGTTTCAGAACCCTAACTCTGTGTTTACAAGAAATCAAGAAGTGTCAGTTTTTTCTGGGGATATTGGGTGAGAGATATGGTTGGATGCCAGAGAAATACGATGTACCAGATACAGCCGAGTATGATTGGATCAGACAATATCCCGAGGGAGCATCAGTAACAGAGTTAGAAATGGAGTATGGGGCCTTACAACACATTCAACGAGCTAGAGAAAAAGCTTTCTTCTTTCTGAGGGATAATGCATATGAAAAGTAAGTGGTTGTCACATAGTTTGGGCCCAGTTTAAAAAAAATTAATGTTTTGCCTTGTGAACTTATGAACTGGCCTATATTCATCAAGAGGAAACAAAATCCGTTGTACCCAATCTATTTCTTTCATGGAAAAAAGTAAATGATCTTAGACTATTGACTCATTTTCTACTATCTGGATCACTTTTCAAAAGGAAAAACACAACATTTGGTTTGCCTGCAAGTAAAGAAACAATATGGTACTCTAACACTTTAGACCCCCTCTATTCCTAATCACATTTTATAAGACCACATGTTTATAAAGTATTTGTTCTATTCTAGAGACATACCTAAAGAATTTCTACCTCATTTCATAACTGAGAATGATGATACAATGGAGAAAATGTCCAGATTAAAGAGAAGAATCAGATCAAGTGGACTAGAAGTTTATGATGAGTAAGTTCATATCCAAGGTTCATCTTTTATTGGTTGTTTCAAATTCAAATCTTCCATACATATGTCATTGATTTATTGATGTTATATAGATATGAAGTACTTGAATAACTTCCTTAATTGTAGACCATGCAGATTTCGTGTCTGAAAAATGCTACAGATAGCAAACAAAATTTTGTATTCATCAACAAAGGTGAATATCTAGACAGCGATATCCCATTACATTCATATTTTATCTCAACAACAGATTCAAAAGTATAGAAATAAATGTCCAGATGTTTACCTTTTTTGCTATCGATGTAGATGGGGTGGACTAGTTTATGTGTTGATATGTATATTATGTATATTTTCAGCTATCCGTGTAGATGGGGTGGACTAGTTTATGTGTTGATATGTATAATATGTATATTTTCAGCTATCCATGTAGATGGGGTGGTCTAGTTTATGTGTTGATATGTATAATATGTATATTTTCAGCTATCTATGTAGATGGGGTGGTCTAGTTTATGTATTGATATGTATAATATGTATTGATATGTATATTATGTATATTTTCAGCTATCCATGTAGATGGGGTGGTCTAGTTTATGTGTTGATATGTATAATATGTATATTTTCAGCTATCCATGTAGATGGGGTGGTCTAGTTTATGTATTGATATGTATATTATGTATTGATATGTATATTATGTATATTTTTAGCTATCCATGTAGATGGGGTGGTCTAGTTTATGTATTGATATATATATTATGTATATTTTTAGCTATCCATGTAGATGGGGTGGTCTAGTTTATGTATTGATATGTATATTTTCAGCTATCTGTGTAGATGGGGTGGTCTAGTTTATGTATTGATATGTATAATATGTATTGATATGTATATTATGTATATTTTCAGCTATCCATGTAGATGGGGTGGTCTAGTTTATGTATTGATATGTATATTATGTATTGATATGTATATTATGTATATTTTTAGCTATCCATGTAGATGGGGTGGTCTAGTTTATGTATTGATATGTATATTATGTATATTTTCAGCTATCTGTGTAGATGGGGTGGTCTAGTTTATGTATTGATATGTATATTATGTATATTTTCAGCTATCTGTGTAGATGGGGTGGTCTAGTTTATGTGTTGATATGTATAATATGTATATTTTCAGCTATCTGTGTAGATGGGGTGGTCTAGTTTATGTATTGATATGTATATTATGTATTGATATGTATAATATGTATATTTTTAGCTATCGATGTAGATGGGGTGGTCTAGTTTATGTATTGATATATATATTATGTATATTTTCAGCTATCCATGTAGATGGGGTGGTCTAGTTTATGTATTGATATGTATATTATGTATTGATATGTATATTATGTATATTTTCAGCTATCTGTGTAGATGGGGTGGTCTAGTTTATGTGTTGATATGTATATTGTGTATATTTTCAGCTATCCATGTAGATGGGGTGGTCTAGTTTATGTATTGATATGTATATTATGTATTGATATGTATATTATGTATATTTTCAGCTATCCATGTAGATGGGGTGGTCTAGTGAATGATAAAGCTATTGTTGCTGGATTAGAGAGTTTTGGATTAAGAGTTATCAATAATCTGTGGACAGCAATACAAAAATCTTACCCTGATGAGGTAAGGAATACCTATTTTCAATTCTTACAATTAATTCCCCTTTCTGAGACTATTATAATGTGAAGTTGCTTTGAATGTTGATATCTATATAATATGATATTTGGTGTTTTTGAATTTCAGACAGCAATGTTAGATGAAGAGACCCATATTAGTAAATTACACCAAGCTTTTATAGATGATAAACAACAAGAATTTATTGGTCGTACAGCTTTGATTAAACAATGTATTAATAAGATCATTAATAATCAACATGGCCTGCTGGCTATAGTGGGAAAATCAGGATGTGGTAAAACCTCTTTAATGGTAAGTTTAACACTGTGAACATTAAAGGACGTTCTGAAAACTGCATTATTATGTAATGTACACCTGAGCTACCTTTCTGTACTCTTTAAAGATCCTACATTTGGACTATGAAAAATGAAGTTGTTTGATGACGCTGTCTTGGCAAAATCTACCTCATTGCATACTGAACTATCCTGAACTGTTTCATTACCACAAACATAAGCAACAAAGTGGGACGGTTTCCAGTGAAATTTCAATTGAGTTCTTCATAGATGACATTTTATACCCTTGCACTCAGTAATCAATGATAAAAATATATTCATTTTGGGGGGAAATAAAGAAAATGAAAATATGATGATGTAAACCTGCTTATAAGTCAATTATTCATTTTGATTTTTTTCCTTTTTCTTGCAGTCTCGTATAGTATATAAATACCTAGAACATAAACATTGTACCAGTGCTAGTAATGTTATAGTACATGTGGTAGGTGCTGCACCAGGTTCTACTAATATAGCAGCCACCATACGTCGATTAACTCATCATATCAATACACAGTTTGGTCTTAATTTTATAGTACCAGAAGATTATAGGTAACGATCTGTGCATCTAATTATCTTAAGCATGATTTTGAAATTTGCTACACAAACCATTTGACAAAGCTCTTGTACCAAATAATCAATATGACTTTGAATCTCTTAAGAATTTCTAGGGAAACTTGTATTATATTGGCTCATTATATTACAGAAATTTAGTGATTCAGTTTGGAGAGATATTAAAAGAAGCTGGTAAAGTAAGTCATGGTAAATTGGTACTATTTTTAGATGGTATAGACAATATGGATGATGTACATCAACCCTACAGTATGGAATGGCTGCCATCACCAATTCCACAGGTAATTTTGTTTTAAACATACACTTATTATTGTCAACAGTGTAGCTCTCTTGGTCCAGGACTTACTGCAGTCAAGAGAGGGTTGAGTTTAGTACAAAAGCCTAATATTTTACCTTACTCTCAGCCAATTTTTTGTCTAACAGTTGTTGTCTTATGGGTGCTGTGCGCTCGAATCCTCCGCAGGTTGAGAAGTATTTTCAGTGCGGCCCATTCTCATCTGGGCCCTATATTGAATTTATATGAAGTTGACAAGCTCAGTTGCAGTGGGGACGTGGGTGTTCCAGAAGGGTTAGGCTTGCAACTAACAACCATTACAATTATTCTAGTAGATGTATCGGATAAAATTTGTTTAATTTTTAAATTTATTCCAAATGATATTTCAGAATGTAACTATAGTAATATCAGTACAAGAAGAAAACAAGGCCTGTAAATCATTAAAAAGATTAGCTGCTGATGAATTTACTGTTACACCATTAGATATGTTTGATAAATCAGAGATCATCCGTAAAACTCTTGATAAACATAGAAAACAGTTGGATGAATCACCCTTCAATAATCAGGTATGTTATTTTATAGTTTATTCTTTTTCTGAACTCTGCTCTTCTTGGCTAGAGTTGTGGGAGTTTTGGGTAGAACACTGCTCACTAAACACAAATAAAAGTAGAAAAAAATAAAATAGTTAATGTATTGAATGTTGATTGTATTTTCAGTTGAAGTTATTAGTATCAAAGAAAGAGGCACCTAATCCACTATATCTGAAATTAGCTTGTGATGAACTGAGAGTATTTGGTGTCTTTGAAAAGGTATTTTTATTAATTTGACTTTTTCTTTCACAAGAAGAAGACTGAACTCCTGAGTATACCAGATACCAGTTACTACATTTGAGAAGGTGATTTGGTTAATGAGCTCTTTAACTCTAAAAGGAAAATATCTTTTCAAAACTGATATGAGTGAGCAATCTTGGACCACTTGAGATCTTACCAGACTTCATAATGTAACTTTATGATCTCCATTTCCAGATAAGCCAGAAGATAAAGTCTCTACCTCATACAACACCACAGTTATTACAAGAAATAATGGTTCGATTAGAAACAGATCATGGTAGAGATTTAGTGTGTATAGCTTTATCATTACTAGTGGTGGTCAGAGATGGTAAGTACTGGTTGATCTTTATTAACATGAATGTCTTTAGAAGCACAAGCCATGGCATATAAAGATATTGGTATACATTTAGTGAAAGATTATGAAAGTCGACAACTGGCCATGACATCAGAATTTTTTTACCTTGAGGAGGAGCCAACAGCACCTAATTGCTGAGCAGACGACAATCCTGCTGCTACTGTTAAAGTTTTGATTGGCTCTGCGATGTGCACAAATGTTTACTCAACTATACATTGCATTGTCACATAATTTAGATGTGAATGAGCTGGTTAGCCCAGAGTGATATGTATATGTACCAAATTATCATTGTATTTTTAAATGAAATGTTTATTTTATAATAGGTCTGATAGATGAAGAGTTATGTGAACTAATAAGTTGGAAGAAAATGTTTGGTAAACAACAGTACAATGTTAAAGATATAGTCAATATGACACTACCATACCACGAACTCTTACCACCTATAGTCTTCTCTTATTTAAAACGTTCTATACAAAGTTTCTTAAATCCAACTGGCAAATGGTAATTTTGGGATTTTATTTAGAATAAAAGCTAGTAGGAATATTTGGGTGCACTCAATAAATATTTTTGTTGTTTAGCAAGCAATACCAAAATTGTCTTTGAATTTTTTATTCAAAAGATATAGAAATATATATTATAAGCGTACTAAAACTGTCTTGAAATACAGTGGACAGTTTATGTTTAAATTAAACTTGTAGGTGATATCTTTGTTCTTGCTTGAGCATCAATATGCAAGATTGTTCTCTCACTAATGGTTTTGTTGGAATTTCAGGAATACCAGGCTAGAATTAGCTCATATAGAAATGATAAATGCCGTCAGACAAAGATATTTGAAAGGTTCTGGTGCTGATTTGGAACAAAATCTACACAAGCTTATCGCTGGTAAGATACACCTACAAGATTTATTAAATAACAAGCAATAACAGATTTTGTAGCCAAAGTTAAGGAAAATATAATGACTAGTCATACATCATAAGATGGTAATGATATTAAACTTACTTTTTTTTTGTCAGGTTATTACTATAAGAAGGTTGATCCCAATAAAAATGGAACTTTTGCTGGAACTGATGTTAGAGCTTTTAGTCAACTAACTTATCATATGGTAAGTGGAATATTTATTTCATTCTTTCTTCTCCGATGTTTTAAATATATTTTTAGATCTAATGCTATTTGGTTTAGCGTAATGTTTATTGTTGATTCTGCACGGAAAAACTTGATTGATTTTGTACTTGTAGGCATGTAGTGGTAATTTCAATGAATTAGAAGAAATTGTGTGTAATCTATGTTATATCAATCAGAAATGTCAACTAGGTTTGGCATCACAACTCATGGAAGATTATGTTCCAAAAGGTAAATTAATTTATTTTCCATTCTCTATGAGCTCTATGTGTCATATAACATAAACAAATAATAACAGGCCAAAAATTTACTTTTTGTTTATCTACAAATTGTTGTTATTTTTAGGTACTGTGACTAAATCAAGTGAAAGAGAACAAACAAAGTTTTTCACCAAACCTAAAATATTAGAATATAAATCATTTATATCTAGGAATATACATGTACTAACTAGGTAAGTATTATATTAAGTTCTATATTGGAGGGTTAATTTCATTATTACATCTCATCTGTATATGATCAAATTGAGGAGATATTGAAAGATGTTAAATATTATAAGTTATATTGCTACTGTTTGTTGTTTCATTTATATTTTATCTGTACTTCATTATTGCTCGTTCTAATTGGAAGTGCAGAAATATGCAGCAGCCCTAATGATTATGTACCGGTATATCTTTTTTCAGTCATCCAGCTTTAACATGGCAGCAAGCCTTGAATGAACCAGACACGTCTATTGTTAATAGAGATGCAAGAGACTGGCAAACTGATGTAGATGTTGACCCATGTTTAATGTCCTGGATAAACAAACCTAATAGTATAGACCCATGTTACCAGACAATTAGTAACTTGAAAGAGGTAGGCTTGATTATCTAGGAATTTACAGATGATTATATAAGATATATCTATGCTATACCCAAAACAGATTTTGAGATTTTAATTCTTTATATAGAGTGCTTAAACAGTAAATAAATGTTAAGATTTATTATTCTAAGTTCACAAGAATTTTCTGATTGAACGAATCTGGGATTAATCTGAGATTATCAATTCATAAATGATGGTTAATTTTATTTTAAAGATATAAGACAAATCAAAAATGTTATGTTTATTTCAGCCTGTAACCTGTGTAGCTATTTCTAGAGATAATTTATATTTTGCTACTGGTAGTCTTGATTGTATAGTCAGATTGTATGATCTACAAACTGGAAAGGTAAGTTACTTGTTTCAACAATATTCAGTTCCAGGTATAAATGCATATTAGATAGAAAGTATTTGAAGTGCCAGATGAATTTAAATCATCCAATGACTTTGTTGTACCTTGAGGCTTGTTTATTCCCCCTGTTTGTTCGAAACAGAGTTTGTCTGTGTTAAGACTAAGTAGACATTAAGTTTTAGAATTGATTTACATCTTACTGATCTGTTTTCAGGAAATTCGAATGTTTTGTGGACACTCAGACCCTATCTCTGATGTATGTTTCGCTGGTAAGACAGTGCTATGTAGTGCTTCATATGATAATACTGTTTCACTATGGAATGTGGATGGTGGCCATAGGTAAGTATTGATATATCATATCAATGGTGTCATCATGTCCATGATGCAGGCCAGAGGGAATAACTTGAAAGAAGATCCCTCAAAAGCTGGAAATAGAAAGAGATCAGACTTATGCTTTTGTCCTGGCAGAATATCCCTCATTGCACACTGCATGACATTACTTTCTTCATTAGCTAAATAAGATGTCAACAAGATGTAAAGCACCATTTCATTCATTTTCAACATTAGCAAACTAAAATGACATTTAGTTAAGTCTTGTTTGATTCAGGTGCATTTTCTTCTAATTTTAGAATTGCTGTATTGAAGAATCACAAGCGTAGAGTGAACTCATGTGCTGCAGACCAATCTGGTAAAGTTGTAGCCACAGCATCCTGGGATTGTACTGTTAAAGTATGGAATACTAATAATGGAGAACAGGCTTGTTATTTAAATGTAGCCAGGTAAGATCATGGTTATAGGCATAGCAATTGGAATCAGATGTAACACCAATATTGAGGCATTGATAGACTTTTCCTGTGAGGGAAGGTTTTGATATTAGCACCTTGAAGCATCAGAGATCAGTTAAAAAAGGCTGGCTCTCTTTATAGACTTGGCTGGGAAACTTCTGTTGAAAAATATAAAATAATTTGTCACAATGGATAATGCACTCCCCTAGTTTGGCAAGCCATTTTAAGGAAAGAAATGGGCACTATACATGTAGATATGGAGTATGTGGGGTGGTTCACCTGTACCTATTATTAGGAACACAGTATGTATTTTATTGTAAATATTGTTGTCATTTCAGCCCAGTAAATTGTGTAGACTTTCACCCAGAAGGACAGTTAATAGTCACTGGAAGTTGGGATTCTCTGATTAAAATATATGATATCTTCCATAAGACTAGAAGAGCTGTAAGTATTGAATAAGATGAGAATCCTAATAATTTTAATCTAATGAAACACTTTAAATTGGTATATTTGTTTGATGTTCCAAATTATGCCTCTATCAAAAACAAAATCAAGTCTTGGTTGATATGCATTGAATAGTTTTCTTCTGGAGTCTTTCTTTGTATGTCAAGTGTGTACACTTTAAGTTTTTAACATTTTTTAACAAAGTTATTCACTTGCACAATAACAATGACATTTTTGCAGATATTACGAGGTCATCAGACATCAGTAAGAGATGTGGCTTATTCACCATCAGGGCGTCATATTGCTTCAGCTAGTTTGGATGGAGAAGTCAAATTATGGTCAGCATTGAATGGCTCCCAGGTAATAGTCAATTATTAAATTGAAAGTAAAACATAAAGTTTCTGTGTGGTTTTTATTTTTATTTTGCCTGATTTGAGCAAGAAATTGTAATGTCAAGCTGATCTGCTAATCATGTTCTTAAAGTAAAGCATAATTCATAAACCATAATGGTATATTTTGCTGTTAATTTCAGGTTGGTAATATTCAAGGTCATTGTTTACCAATAAATAAACTAACCTTCACTCAAACTGGTCGAGAATTAGTTACAGTTAGTGATGACCAAAAAGTCAAGGTATGTACCATAGTGGTTGTCCTCATCAATGTATCTATAACTTACATTGCTATAATTTATCAAAGAGCTTTTGTCTTATGTCAAAATCAACATGTGAGCACAAATAAGCTACAATATTAGGTAGTTATTATTAAAACTAGAGAGTAAACTTGCAAGTTCATAGTATGCACTTGATTGTTCCTCATATATATATATATACATATTGCACCTTGCCTCTTCTTTGTTATGGCATTAAGTAACTCAATAACTGTAAAAATTATATATTATTATTATAATATTATAGATATGGTCTGGTGATTTAGGAATACCAGTACATTGTTTTGGAAGTGAGAAGAATGGTTCAGTAACATCAGTAACAATATCTAATGATGGACAGTTATTGGTCGCTGGTTATCATGAGGGTCATATTAGAGCTTTTGATATCAATACAGGTGAATATATTGTCATTTATGATATTGATCGAACTGGATGGTTGTCAAAATGATGGTGATAGCCCAATATAATGTCTTTCCTGAACTCCAATATCCACCTCTCTTGTATCAGGGAAGTTGATAAATGCAGTGATTTAATTGGATTGTGTGCTAGCAACTGCAGCCAATCAAAACCCTTGAAAGAAAGAATGTAAACAATTTGTCTGCACATGAAATCAGGGACTATGATTGGCTGTATTTGCTACCATTCAATCCAATCGCTGTGATACAAAAAAGGAGATTACTGCAGTCAAGGTATTAGACACAGATAGAAATAGCTTCTCATTGTGAAAATTCAATTAACCGAATAGATTTCCAAAGATTTTGATTTAATCCAATATTTATTGGTTGTTTTATTGTAGGTGCTAATATATACACTGTAAAACATAGCTCCTGTCCAGTGAGTGCCATAACATTTACAGCTGATGATAATAATTTACTTATTGGTGTGGATAGTGAGAATGTAATGGTAGGCATTATTTTTTTATATTTCAATTCCTCGGCCTGGCTTTTATAGGAGAGTATTTCTTCTATAAAACTCAATACTGCCTGTTCTGATGTCACCCTGCTACTGAGATTACAGACATTTTCATTCGCTTTAGACCACAAGTGTTCATTTGTATATATGTGGTAACAATATTTTTTTGGTTTATTGTAGTTATGTACAAGATCTAGTGGTCAGAAAGTGAGTGTATTAACAGGTCATAGTAAGAATGTATTAACTATAGCTACCTCTAAAAACTATATAGTCAGTGGAGGGGAAGATTCTATTATTTGTGTCTATGATGATTTGTCACAGTTAAAAACATCTCGACTGTAAGTAAAGTTTGTTAACGCTGGCTATTTTTTTTAGCTACCTATGTCACTAGATAGCTAGAATAGATCTCAAAATTGCAATATTTTCTTTCAATGAATCTGTATCAAAGGTTTGATGGCGTTGATCTACTAGTATATCTTTGAGAAATCAAGATTTAAGTTGACTTGTTCCTTCTGATAACATTACTTAGTCAAAGCCTATTTCTTGCTATCTAATATGACAGCCTTTTGTTTTCCCTATCTCACAATTTGTCATTGTTAGCAAAAATAACGTCATTTGAACACCATTGCAGTTTTATATTGGCCTATAAAAGGTGACTAAATATGTTCATAGATAGTTTAGTGTAAAATAATGTAGGTAGTCAAAATATTACAATTTTTAGTAACATTGAGACAACTTATCAAATGGTGCAATAATACAAGCTGACAGTGTTTAAGTTTTACAATGTGTATTTCAGTATTCCACCAGCAGCCTTATTACATCATCACCAAGCACCAGTTACTAGCTGTACATTTAATAAGAATGGTTCAATGTTTGCTTCAGCTAGTAGAGATGGGGTAAGTTCTTATCTGTTGATTTACATTCATCTCACTCCAGTTTCAGAATTGATCAAAAAATGCATGGCTTGTTGGTTAGATAGTTAGATTGTTAGCAAGGTGTGTTCTTTTATCTTGGACCTTATACTTACAAATTGAATTTAACATCAATTATAGTGATTGACCTATCAGTTGATTAAAAAATTTTAGGCAAGTTTTCAAGAATATTGCAATTGCTTTATCTGCCTTTTCATCTTAAGAAAATTGATGAAAATATATACCTTGAAGTCTTGTTAGTAATGATACCAGTGTTTATGTTATATTTCAGTCTGTTATGATATGGGAAGTAAAATGGGTTTCAGTGGATTCTGATGCACCACCATTTCAACATTTACGATCATGTCACTCTGATTGGATTAATGGTTGTATTTGGTCTAATACAGGCAATATGTTGGTACGTATGATTATGAAGTTTTTAACAATGTCATATCTGTTTCAAATATTTATTTTCATAAATTAGAAATTTAGACTTTTTTTCCCTGTGCTTTCTAGAGTGATTCCACTTGTCATCCCTGATCTGACAAAATTATTATGAATCTCATGTTCTGGGACATTTATTATTCAACTAATCAAATGCTCTGTTCAATTGCCTTATCACCTTTTTGTTGGTTAGCATAACTATTGATTTTGTTGGGTCAAAATTCAACAGAACAAGACTGAAGGAAGAATGTCATCAGATCATGGATCACAAGTGTAGTTTAGGTTTTAGCCCCTGTTGGAATATGAAGCATTCCTTAGTTGACTGTTGTTTTGTCATTTCAGTTAACAGCTTCTAATGATTTTAACATGAAGATTTGGAATTTGAACTTAAAAGATGGTGATGAAAATAAAACTACAGAAAAGATGAAATTTACTGGTCATATGTCAGCGATAAACTGTGTAGATTATCAGGTTGGTTTATGACTTACTTATATCTGTGCTTAAAGGTTATAAACCAATGCCCAATAAATCTATATTACAACCAGGGTTGTAGCCACAGCGGTTGGCACTTGACGGCAGTAGCAAGCACTTAACTTGACCGACATGCACTGATGTTAAAATATGAGTTCACACAAAGCACAAAAAATTAGGTAAAAATTGTTACTTGTTTGTGTTTATTTAAACATTACTCCAATTGAACTGTATTTTCAGTATGGTTGTATTGTATCTGGAAGCAGTGATGGTAATGTTAAAGTCTGGTCTCATAAAGGAACAGAGATCACTACCTTATATGGACATACACAAAGAGTAAATGATTGTTCTATACATGTCAAGTTTAAAGAAGGTAAACATTCTATGAGTTGTTTGGATTTTTACTCTGGAATTTTGACCTAAATTTCGAAGACAGCCAGTCGTATGATTGATTGCCTATCTGAAGGACTTGTAGGCAACAAGTTATGTCCCTTCCGAATTAATATTGACAGGATTATATGTTGTTTTATTATAACACTTCATGTTCATGTTGTTCAGGTAAAGGTGTGATGACAGAAGATGTAGAAGAAGATGAAATGGACTGGGCGACTATGGTAGATAATGATTCCAGTCCTAAAAAAGCTAAGCTAGCCAGTAAACAACCAGAGCCTGTAGTATCAGATGTTATTGTAGCTACTTGTAGTGATGATGGTCTTATTAGAATCTGGAAACCTCTCCAAGTGAGTTAAGATTATTCTTAAGTTAAATGATTTGTATTAGGCAGTTTTAACTAATGAAACTTCAAACCCTGAACATTTGAAAAACAACATGTTCTTCTTTAATAATTTTTACTGAAACATGATTTCTGGATGGGTTTTAAGATGATCCTGGCATAATAGAATCAAACCAGATATAAAAAAACATGTAGGCTACATTAGGTCACATGTTAAAATGCAATTTTTTTTAGCGTATCAATGCCTGACTAGCCTACATTGATTCATTTATTTTTCAGGCAAATGAATTGGCATCATTAACTGGACATTCTGATAGAGTAGTGTCTGTAGCTACAGATACAGCTGGTAATGTCTGCTCTACATCATTAGATAAATCTATTAAATTATGGAAACCAGAACTGAGTAATATTAAATCAATAGGACAACATGATAGTGATATAACCTTCACTGTAGTTAGTAAATATGGTGATATAGCTCTCACTGGTAGCAGGTATGTACTTCATTAACATAATTCTCTGAAGTATCATAAGATTTATAGAGAAGAGTGTGAAGGCTTTGTGAAAATAGGAAGTGTTTTTCTTCAAATTGATACTATCTTGGTTATGGAAGAATGAAATGGAAAAAGTGTCTAATTGGTTGGTTAAGAGACCCCTATGATTAAAGCCATGCACATTAAAGAAACCTAGACTACTTGAAATTGAATAAAGGAAGCTTATGTCTCCATCTGGGATATCTCTATCTATTTATCATGCATTGTGAGGCTTGTCTTTGTTTGCCCAAGCTCAGTAGGAGGTTGTAAATGTAGCTCATTTCTTTCTAATGTAAAAAATGATTCAGATTCTTATAACTTCAGCAGTAACATCTCATAGGTTTAAATATGTGTAAATAGGCTTAATATTTTTGTGTATCTTTTTCACATAATTTCTTAAATTCCAGTAGTTAGATTATTTGTAATGTTATGATATATTATAGAGATGGTATAGTTAAGATATGGCAAGATAATGGTAACCAGAGTAAAGTTTGTGTCTGTAGTTTCCAGGTAGACAAGAAATTTTATTTCAGTTTCATATTTTTCACTATTATCACATTTCTATACTTTAACATGCATGTTCCAATGTTCTGCAATATTGCTCAAATACAACTTGGCACATAGAGATGTGGAATTTATCTAATAAGAGGTGAGTAGAACAATAATATATAAATGTGTATAAAATTATATTTGAATGGATGATATATCATTTTTCAGGCTGATGAGAAATGTGTCAGTGATGCTGTATTTCTACAGAATAAAAGTACAAGATTTGTCACAGTATCATATAGTGGTTTAATAAAGATCTGGAATATATCAAATAAAACTGGTGATATTGCTGTCAAGTTAGTATCTATATTTTCAGTTAATGATGTTGATAAACCATGTTATGTAGCTCTTGGCCTTGACCTCATTACTTTTGACCTTGACCTCATGTCTCTTGATCTTGACTCTTTGATATAGTTAATAATATTGTTATATCATGTAAAAGAACTTGTCCTAATAACGTTTCACCTTGATCTAATGACCTTTTATTATAGGTGATAAACTTATAAACCATATGAGATAATCTTTGACTTTGGCCTCATTTTCATTGACCTTGACCTCATGACCTTTTGCTCTTTGATATTCTTAATAATGCTCTTAAATCATGCAATATTACTCTTGACCTTGACCTAATGTCAAGGTTTGATGTGTCCTTAGTTGACTTGGACATATCAACAAATCAATATGATTTATTTCTATATTTCAGATGTACAGATGAGATAATGGTAGAGAACCCTATACTCTCAGTAACGTGGAGTGATAAACAACCTCTAGAATATATACATTTTATATGGGTACTGGAATGGAATGGTAGAGTAAAAGGCTGTAATCTCAATACCAAAATACATGAATATTCTTGGTATGGACTTGAACTATTATTGAAGAATAATTTATATCATAATGAAATATCTCATTTTAATTGATCATATGGTGTGAAAGAAAGATAGAATTAAAGAAAGAACCATTTTTACAAAGTCATCAGAATTTCAGACACTGAACCACCAAGTGCTATTGATAATCACCATGATGTATTGTATTGTCTTCTAGGTTAATACAGACACCAGAATTACCTCTAACATCAGCTCTGAAGATGAAGTTTGCTTCTAATTCTAACAGATTAATGATACGTAGAGTTGACTCGGCTATAGTTTGTATCGATCTTCAACAGATGGTTAGTTCAATTTTTCTTTTTTTATTCATCCGAGCGGAAGGAAACCAGCATTATCCAATTATTTTACTTATTTTCAACTGTTCAGGGATCGTAAATTCCACTAACTTTGTTTTTGGGGCCTCAGATAATTGTCCTTTCTGAATTTTTTGCATATTAGCCCCTTGAGCTGCATGACAGAGGAAAGTTGGGTCGAAAAAATTTAAGGGTATCACCTATGCCAGGATTGAACAGTTTGATTTCCAAACAAGCATTTGACTTGTTAAGCCTTCTTAATGCCAATTATAAATTGCACCTCACCTTAAAAGCATTATCTTTACTTATTTCCTAAACTGTTACATAAGCTACACACTGGTGAATTTATTGTAGATGGAATATAGTTTGAACAGTACCAGTATACCAATTACTGTAGATGAAAGTCATATAACAGTGGAGAAACGAGAAGCTAATTGGATCTTATCATCAGATATTGATGGTACTTTTACTTTTATTGGTGATTCAAAAGGTCAGCTGACTCTAATGAAAGGTCATGATTTAAAATCTATGAAGGTAAGAGGTTATTATATATTATGATATATTTAAATAATCTTTCCTCTTTATTTTCCAAATTAGCCATCTCCATTGAAATGAAATGAGGATACATGAAAACTGGAAATATTATGAGGCAATTTTATGTTACTTGCATGCCAAAATCTGTTTAGAATTGTTGGTTCTATTCATGGCGTCTATTTAGCAAAGACTTGCTTTGATTTCGAAAAACTTTTTACACATACCAAAAAATATATCTTTTGATAGAAAATATGACTTGTTTTATTTTCAGATACATAATGGAGGTATAAATTGTGTATTAAAATGTGGAGATTTTTTATTTACTGCCTCATCTGACTGTTTGATTAAAGTCTGGAAAATGGAGGCTATCAAATCATGGAAGATGGAAGGAGCTCAGGTCTGTATATCTCAACCTATCATAATTTTCTTTATATTTTGTGACTTGCTAAGAATTTTATTTGTTGGGATTTTTTTCATATTTCTATAGGATTTAACTGAAGAGAAGAGTTTTATTTGTTGGGATTTTTTTCATATTTCTATAGGATTTAACTGAAGAGAAGAGTTTTATTTGTTGGGATTTTTTTCATATTTCTATAGGATTTAACTGAAGAGAAGAGTTTTATTTGTTGAGATTTTTTTTTCATATAAATTCTTTTGTAACCTGTTGAAAATGTTAAGGATTTTTTATACAAATGGTTTAGGTGTAATTGGTTGTATTATTTATGTATTTTTATGTTATTTAGGTTGGAATGTTTATAAATACAGCTCCAGTATCAACATTATGTCACCTCAATACCAATACAGTAAATAGTATCAAATTGATGTGTGGAGATATACTAGGAAATGTGAATATATTACAGTGGAACTATTAATTATAACTATTAGTTATGAATTACTGTGTATGTGTATAATTGAATGTATAATTTTTGTATATAACATTAGATTGTGTTTTTAAAATTATATGATGTGGAAGTGAAATTTTGTACAGAAATATATCAATTGATTGTAACTTACTATGGATGTGAAAAATTGAACTTATAATTTTTGTATATAACCTTAGATTGTATATATAAGTTATATGAATGATTAGTGATATTCGGAAATGTCAAACATATTGTGATCAAGTTTTATTTATAATTTCAAATATGGTGTATTTTAATAATTTATCCTTAGCGTTGATACAGTGACAGAAAGCCAAATTCTGGTGTAAATTGAATTTTGTAGTTAATGTTTCTAGAATTGAAAGCTTATTAATTTCTATATACCAAATGCAGTGAATTTCATATATGACTTTGTAAATATTGTGTTGAACTTCAATATGTAAATATTTTTTTTATTTTATGTATATTTGATTGTAAAATATAAGGGTAGTATGGCATTGGATTTATTGTAAATATTATTGTTTTTGTTATAAAAAAAAAAAATAAAAAAGATGAAAAAAAAATGCAACAAGATTAAAGAACATCTGAAATAGATCAATGCAATTAAAACATGACAAGAAAGAAAACGAAATTGATATGCTTTTAGTTAACTTTCTCACAAGTTGTAAATTTTCTGAAGACAAATTATTTATAGTAAGAAAAGTAGGAAAAATTGTATGTTGCTTTTAAATTAGGAAACAAACTAATTAATATTGTATGTGATTTAAAATTAATAATTTACCTTATTTTTAAGAGATGAATAACAAACCTCAATAAGTTTAAAAGTGGGTGTGAAAACAGATCACATTATTAGAAATCTTTGTACCATCTTTCATGTGATATTTTTGTCCCTTAAGAATTATATGGTGACACTAGAGTATTCATAAGACGAAAAGTCTTTGTCAAACATTTGGTTTTAATATTATGGTAGTATGTAAAATGACTGATTTAAAAATATGTTCAATATAATAACTTGCAGTGCTTTGATCAAATAACTTCCCAGAAATATTAATAGGTAGGTAGGTAGGTAGATGACAAGTTAACGTTCGCTTCAAATTCAAATTCAAACTCAATTTATATAGCAAGGAACAGTGTTGTTAAGAATAACTTTTTCACTATTTATACTAGTATGACTATAGTCTTTAAAATTGTTTTGTTTTTATAGAAGCTTTCTTTCAAAAGAAGAATTAATTATTTGAATCCTTTTCTAATAATATAGATATTCTGCACTTGAATTTATATGTGCCCATTTATAATAGAAATTGATCTTAACATTTCAAGTTGGTGTCAAAGAAAATGACAAATTAAGTGGAAATAAAATCATGGATTATACAAAAATGTTTTAAGGACTATAGTATACACATTTATTATTAAAGCCTTAATTTCTCTTTTTATAATTTTACACTAAAAATTTGAAATAACATAACACTGAAAATTTGATAAACATAACTCTGAAAATTTGAAATAACATACCGGTACCTCTGAAAATTTGAAATAGCATAACACTGAAAATTTGAAATAACATAACTCTGAAAATTGAAATAGCATAACACTGAAAAATTTGAAAAACCATAGAAATTGTAGATATAATTAAATAAAATCATACAGATCATACTATAAAAAATAAAAATTTTGACAAGAATTTTAAAAAGAGAAATCAAAAGACTAATATTGTATTATTTTTCTATTGATATTTTTAGATAGCTGTGTTTTTATTGTTATTTATACAAGTTTTTAGTATAAAATCAGTAATAACCAGGGAAAATCGCCATCTTCAATGAAATAGGGAGCTTTGATACTCCCTGACAGCTCTTGTTTTTGTTACCGTACTTTATTTAATAAATATATTTATTAATTTTACATTTGTTTTTCTTTCATTTTATTGGATCTCAATTCAGCAAAAGTTTCAGACCCATTTGATACCTTTTACATTGATAATTGAAGTATTATAGAAATATAGAATATATATTAGTTGGTCTATGGCAGGTGTAAGGAATATTAGACCCAATACCTTATCAAGAGGAGTCTCTGGGAAAGACCTAGTGATGCATAATATTTATGACTCAGTCTGCAATTAAAGTGTCGGAATGTTTTTTCATCTTTCAAAACTTGGTATTGAACCCTACAATCTGTAGGCGTACATTGCAAAAATGAAATGACGAATTAACTGTTGTCCTAGTTTAGTGTATAGTTGCACCCCTTGGAAGTTAGATAGTAAGTTGTATAACGTAAACAAACATGGCTGCAAAATTTCACATTTTAGACCTTCCACCTGAATTACTATTAAATATTCTGAGTTATTTACCCGCAACTGATGTTTCTAGTGTGTGCCAGACATGTACAAAGCTCAACGAAGTTGCTGATCAAGAAATTGTGTGGCAAAATTTGATTAAATCAGGTAGATAGTTGGTTTTACATTTTTAACTCTAACCTATTCGTGATTATCAGAGAACTGTTCTAATTATAGATCTATATCAGAAGTAGATAATAATTAATACCTGGCTTTTCTTACTCAATTGCTTGTTTTAATTATATTAAAGCCCATTCTTTTAAAGCCATTAAAGGATAGGCCCATGAATAAGCTTATGCTACTGCTTAGTAGCCTATAACCTACTTGCTACCATCATGAATCCCTGTACTAAAGAATTCTGATAGTGCTTACACTCTTGATAAATAAGCTTATTGAAAGTTTGTTTCAAAGCCCACCACAGTTAATGATAACAATTTTCTAGTGGTATTATGTCTACCGGTAGTATAAATGATAATTTGTTTGTTTATAGAGTTTAATATCAAAAATCATATTGGTTGTTATGATGGTTCTTATAAAGATGTATACACCAAAGGTAAAGCTTTTACTAGTTACAATGAAAACTCTGCATACATTGCTGGCATTTTTTTAAATGATTCAATCGGAACATCTCTTTACAGTAAATCATACTTCAGGAAAAACAATTTGTGTTCATTTTATTCTTATCTAGTATTACATAAATATAAAGATATGCTGGGAATTTGGCAGCCTGAGATGGGTTCATATGGTGGATTACTACATATTAAGGTACTGTAATAATAATAATATTGTAAGTTTTTTTCAATGGTTAGTTTATGCTCTTTTTTTACTATTTATTAGCTCCAAAGTATAATTTAAGTGGTCATTGTTTTATAATGTCTATATCTTCTGCCATGAATGCTTATAAGCATTGATCGTTATATTGTAAGATTTTGAGTTTTTATTTTATTTTCTTGAAGTGGACTAATGAAATTTGTTATATATTTACTTAGTTAAGGGATGGAAGAATAATAGGAGAAGAATGTTTTGCTCCAGTAGATCCTGATGTTTATCATAATCTACGAAAAAAAGTACTATTTTCTATTCAATTGTCTGAAGATACGACTCATGAAGAAATCTTATGTTATAGAGGTTTTGATAGGCCTCATCCTAGTTCTATACAGTGGGTAAGTTCTATGTTATAGAGGCTTTGATAGACCTCATAGTTCTATGTTTAAAAAGGTTTTGATAGACCTCCTCCTAGTTGTATGTTATAGAGGTTTTGATAAGACATCGACCTTGTTCTATGTTATAGAGGTATTGGTAGAGCTCCTCTTAGTTTTATGTTATAGAGGTTTTGATAGACCTCCTCCGAGTTCTATGTTATAGAGGTTTTGATAGATCTCCTCCTAGTTCTATGTTATAGAGTTTTTGATAGACCCTCCACCTAGTTCCATGTTATAGAGGTTTTGATAGAGCTCCTCCTAGTTTTATGTTATAGAGGTTTTGATAGACCTCCACCTAGTTTTATGTTATAGAGGTTTTGATAGACCTCCTCCTAGTTCTATGTTATAGAGGTTTTGATAGACCTCCTCAGTTCTATGTTATAGAGGTTTTGATAGACCTCATCCTAGTTCTATGTTATAGAGGTTTTGATAGATCTCCTCCGAGTTCTATGTTATAGAGGTTTTGATAGACCTCCTCCTTGTTCTATATTATAGAGGTTTTGATAGACCTCCTCCTAGTTCTATGTTATAGAGGTTTTGATAGATCTCCTCCTAGTTCTATGTTATAAAGGTTTTGATAGACCTCCTCCTAGTTCTATGATATAGGGGTTTGATAGACCTCCTCCTAGTTCTATGATATAAGGTTTTGATAGACCTCATTCTGGTTAAATACCAAGATATATCATAACCATTAACAGCTGAAAATACATTACAGCAGTACTTCATCATTGAAATTCTTATATACATGTATGTCATGTTATATGTCTGACACAAGAAATTCCTGAAAATGTCATTGACATTCTAACTCTAATCTTTGTGAAATATATTTTGTAGACAGAAGCTGGAACTGTTAAATTCCATTGTTCTGATTCCGACAGACACAAACATCCTGAAGGTAAACAAAAGGTAAGGCAAAAATAACTGAATGCAAAGAAAAGAATTTTGCACATTGTTTGTAGTCTATGTTTTGGTGTTAAAAAAACCCAGAAAATGAAATGTTTGCTTTAATTTTTACTTCCTGATCATTTTTTTAATCTTATTCTTCAGGAATTTGAGAGCTGGCTTGTGGAAGAAACAGGTCAAAGACCAAGTGAATTTTTTGTTCATGGTCAAGAATTATTATTAATGAAATTTCTAGTTACAACACAATTAGGGTGAGTAACTTGTCCTTTTTTCATGGGTTTTATGACATTCTGTAGAGCACTTACCGGTTTATTGAATTGTAGGAGATCAAACGTCAGCTTTCATTTCTGTAATGTGATATTAATAGCTGAGATGGAGGTTTATCAGTTGGAAATAGAAATATTATGAAAAACACTAAAATGTATGGATGTACATCTTTTGAGTTTATTACATTCTGTGTTTAGAAACATATTTAATGTTACCAAGTCAAATATCGTAATATGTAATAAAGTCAGAAGTAGTATATCCATATATCTTATTGTTTTAATGTAACCTTCCTACTTCTATATGTCTTACAAAGATTATATCCTTTAAGTATAAATATCATGTCTTATTTTGTATGTATTGTAGATGTACATATGATTTAACACGTCTTTCATTCCCTCAACCAGAAGCTAATGTGATAGTACAACCAGGCTTATTTAAAGGTAACTATGGTGGCCATGGTATAGAGTTAATCATGTTAACATATTTACCAGATATGATGGCAGAAGGCAAGAAAATAACAGTAGGTTTAGCGTTATTTTTTAATCTGTAGATTAAATTTCAATTACGTGAGTGAAAAGTTTTAGTATGTGATTGGACAGTGACTGATCAGGTTTTCCATCTGTTGGGAAATTCCATGTATTGTATGCAAAATTGGTGGAATTTGAAGCCAAAACCTCTTATCAATCCTTTTATATTTCAGGGTGACCCCAATGTACCAGCTAATAAAATAAGTTTATATATAGATTTAAGAAGACCAATGTTTTTAAACCGAGATCAACAACAAACCATAGATTTATTACAACAAATAGATATACCCGACTCTCCACCGGATTCTTACCCTCATAATCTTCCCCCACAACCATTCCGGGTACCTGATGACTGTTTTGAAAGATTTAGTGGTACACCTCATAAATGTATTGGAAGGTAAGAAAATACTATGTGTAATGTCTTGATAACCTAATGCTGTAGTCTCATTTAATACACAGGAAATCATGTTAAAAGAATATCCACAGATGTACCAAGACAATTATAAGTTTTTCCTGAAAAAAATTCTACCAAGCCTTTGATTGTTCTTAACAGGCTCTTTTGTCTTCCATCTTTACAAAAATAATATCTGTGGTTCCCAACAAAACTAAGAAAATTACGTTGCTGACTACTAATTGGTATATTGGTCATACTTTAGGGGTATACTTCTGTAATATTTCAGAGAATTTTCAAAAAATTGGCCAACTGTGAAATTAACAAACTGAGGAGATTTCATTTTTCAAATGGCAACTTTATTTACAGTGGCAACTCAATGCATTTGATTGAATGAATTAATGCACATAATATTTTGAACTATTTTTCTGGGGTTTTTTTCAGGTTTCATGCAAAAGGTCAAATTGCAGGTCATGATTTCAGCAACCCCTCGAGAACACCAGGACATTGGGTTGTTTTTGATGAAAATACCTTTGGTTTTCTGTGGTTGGAATTAAAATCTTTTAGTTTGTATTCTAGAGTACAGGAACATTTTGATTGAATCAAAACTCTGAATGATTGGGATAAATCATGAAGATCTTTAAATTACAATATATTTGCTTTATCAGCCATATACCGTAGGATCATGCATTTAAAAGTGATAATAAAAATTCATAGTATTATTATTATATGATGTAAAGATGGATTGTTATATTATTTTCATACCAAATGTGATAAAATGGAATGTTGTTAACCTAGAGCTTTAAAGTATTTAATATTTAATTAAGCATTAATATAAGCTCTTAAAGGGATTTAGCTTTACCAGCTGATGGTGTTCAAATTTCATCTATCTGTAGAACTTTGCACTATTAAAACATCCAGTCACTGTGTTATCTTTACAGACAGTTATGAATGATGACTTGGTGATAATTGTATTACCCTGCTTGGGAGGTAGAACCCTACGTGGGATTTTAACTTTGAAAACTGATACATATAGCTTAAATTGAGCTCTGTTAGCTGGTGATGCAATTATTTAGATTACTATATTCTGTAAAAAAATTTACTGGAATTGATAAGAATGTTTTTGATTTGGAATAACCACCGAATAAACTATTTATTAATGTAACTTTGTCTTCATTTTGAATCTGAGAGGCCAGTCATTATCCCAAAAACAAGAAACTATTAAAATAATTTATTTTAGATATGAAATTATCAAGAAAATAAGATCTCTTCATACACTAATTAGAACAATGAATAACTGTATAATTATATTCATTATAATATTCATTCACACAATATTACTCAGTTTAATAAACAAGTTATTATTCAAAAACAACAAACAACTAAACCATTTTAACTACCAATCTATACAAACAACTGAATTATTCAACAAACAAGTAAAAGTCTGGGCTTAGAGACTGGCAAGTTATTTGCATACTGATTAAGATTTACAGCAGATTAAGATAAAGGAAAGCTCTCTATATGCATTAAATTTGCTCAGATCAACCTCTGACAATTCATATGTATCACAAAATATTTATTAGCATCTTTATCAGGGACATTAATAGCATCTACTTGTACCATATATAGATAGCTTGAACAGCCTTAAAATCTCTTGAAGAACTTTGCTTAAGACAAAAAAGAAATTAAGGAAGCCCTAAATCTAAATCAAATTCAATTAAATCCTGAATATTCCATGGAATTAAGTAATAATTTGTGTCATAGATCCAAGAAGGAGGAGAAATGACCAAACAGAAACCAATTGTGCACCTTTTCCACCAATGATAATTGAATTTCAGCTTCTTGACCTTTATAGAATTTTAATTAACAGGTATAATTCTGTCTTATATACTTATACTTTCAATTGTCGAATTTAACTCTCAATGATTCAAAGTTAAATGTAAAAGTTTTGGAAATTGTTTATCACTTGTATAGCTTTGGACTTTTGACATTTTCTAAGATACCTTACTATCATTGTCATTTTGATCCTTGCTAAATGATTGTTGAGGAATTTCCTTATCACTATTCCCTAGATCATTAGAAACTTCAGCATCTGTAATCTGATTATCCTCCGTCCTACTATCGGACTGTTCTGGAGTATCCTTATTGTCCTCAGTCTGGATATCCTCATTGCTTGACTGTTGTGTGGTATCCTGAATATGGCTTTGATTATCCTCTGTTTTACTTTCTGTCTGATCTAACAGGTCATCATCTTTATTATCTGATAGTTTCGAGAGGTCCTTGTTTTTGGAATCATCCTCAATTTTGCTCCCTGACATTTTGGAATTGTCCTCAATTTTGCTACCTGATTTGTTGGAATTGTCCTCAACCTTGCTTCCTGATTTGTCAGAATTGTCCTCATCTTTCGATCCAGGTTCCTTAGAATTTTTCTCAGTTTTGCTCTCTGATACAGTAGAATTATCCTCAACCTTGTAACCTGATTCTTTGCAATTGTCCTCAGTTTTTCTCCCTAATACTGTGGAATCATCCTCCTCACTAGAATCAGAATCTGGTATCATGTTAATATCATGTCCATAATCTTTGGTGTAATCATCATCTATAAATGAATCTTCTGATGTGACGACAACATTCATATGTATTTCATCATCATCTTCATCTAAAATCATAATTCATATTTGACAGTTCTGCTTCTATTCACAGCCATAAATGATTGCAGTAGTGAAAACATTTTACTGACAGTTAACAAAGGACAACTAATATAACTCAGCATATCATTGTCTGCCTATTATAAAGAACCAGATCATTTTGCCTGATAGATCTTTCTCTCAATTGGAGAGATTCAAAAGAGATTTGCTGGACATATTACTTTTTAATGGAGTTATGTGGACAAATGGGAAATCAAAATAAGTCCATAAAGAAGCACATACTTTAGACTAGAATACTTGAAATTCCCTTCGGTCTGGAGAAAGGAAATTGAAACTAATGTACTAACCTTTAGTTTGATCTACAACTGGACTAGTAGTTTGTGAGGACAGAAATTCATTTAAGGCTTTTTCATCTTGATCAATATTTATATCACTTAAACTACTTACTTTAGGTATTTCTGGTACCGGTAGTTTTAATTCTAAAATAAACAATAATACAGCGTCAATTTTCAAGTAAAGTCCTGTGAGTCCAAGTTACTATTTGGAAAACATTCATTGCAAGCCATTAATTTCAAACATTATAAGGCAATGTTATGAGACATGGGTCAGCTAGTAGGCATAGTTTTACATCAATGGTAATGGAACATATTCGATGAAAAATTGAAGGGCACTTACTGTCAGTTTTACCATGTTCTTTATAATATGATAAATCACTTGAAAAAGCTTCTTCAAACGCTTCATGTCTCTCTTTTAGTTTAAAACTTTTAAACTTTTCTAATTCTATCATTTTTTTAGCATGGTCTCTTGCCATTTGTACTGAAAATAGAAGGCATGCAAGGATTGAAAAACTGTTAATTAAGTATTATTAATTTCCAAGTTAAAAAGTTTCTTTGCATTAATGTTTAAATTCGATGAAGCAAAAATTCCAATAAAACTTTAAAAGTTTGCCATTGAACTCAAACAGTTTATTTGGCTGAATATTTGCGATATGCTTCTCTTAGCTGAGGTCAAGGGTCAAAATGGTATGTTCTTAATATGACACTTTATTGCTTTCAAAGGAAACTGACGCTTAGTTATTTAAACCACATAAAATATCAATCCAACATTGTTGCATTAATCATTATCCATTCTGCAAAATCACTGTTACTATCCACTTCTTTTCTAAAAAAAAACTTTAGACCTAAAGACTGTGTAATTCACCTTTAACTTTCTCTATTTCTTTAGATTTCTGATGCCTATATTGATATAATTGATGTATTTGATTTTGTTGTTGTTTTATTAATTCTTGTTCTTCACAAACATCTTCTAACTTTTCTAAATCATCTTCTACAATCCTGAAACTTTCTTCAAGTTCTCCTGAAATTCAAATGGAGGACACTTTTGTTAAAGAGTTAAGAGTGAATATGATCATTATAATATGTGCTTGACGAGCTGATGTATTCAGCTATCCAGATCACTTGTCAGAATTGAAATCTGCTATCCTGTTTCACAACAATTAATTAAAAACGAACTGCAAAATGTCTGCAATAACTTTAATATATCATTTTCATTCATAAATTGTTAACGTACCCGTACCATAATAAAATCAAAGAAAGGGGCTGTATTTTGCTTTAACATTAAAATATATAGTTCAGCAATACCAACCTATTGAAGCAGTAAGATTAGATAAGACTTCTAATAATACTGGTATTTGTTTCACTGATTCATCTAAATGATGAACTAAATTATCTTGTTTAGACCATCTTTTATATACATTATTTATCTCCACATCAACTCCCTACAAAGGTAATTCATATTTATTTTTTCCTAACATGCAATTTGCATATTTTACAATTAATAGTTTTATGTTTTATGAAAGTCTATTGAACAAGAGATCTACTGCTGTCTACACAGAATTTGCATTAAAAATTCAACTATGGTTAGAAAATGCAGTCTAATTTTGAGCAAAGTAAGCACCAAACCACAGCAATGGACAGAATTAAAAGGTATACCTCTGCTCTCTTTGCACTTTCTTTTGAATAAGAATCTATTTCTCTCCATGACAAATGATACCTGAAATAGAAAAATTCATCATCATTTATGACTGTTAATAATTTCATACAGGATTGTTTAGTTTTCAAATTTTGTTCAAAAAAGATCTGGAATTCAACATTATTAATGGCATCATCTGAAGCTAAATGTACTAAATCTATGCTGTATTCAAGTTAAGTAGATTTATTCTCGAATCCAGTTGAATAGGTGTCTTAGACTGTATTCTCCTGTGATATACTTGTCTTAGTGGTATATATCAGTATAGGCATTCAAGACAGTAATTATGATGTAGAACAGTTTGGTTTGAACTGGGGATCATCCAACAGCTTGTTTCACCATGCTCATGTAAGCTTAGGTCTATAGTTGCATGTAATACAATATTCCTATAGACATCATAAATAATCAAAAAAACAAAAATAAGGTAAATAAATAAAGGCCTACTTGTATAATAAATCAGCACCTGCATCTAAATTAACACCATCCCCTCTTAATCTCTTTAATGCTTCACTTTTAGGATGGCTTTCAAAACTTGTTAATGCTTTAAACCTATGACGATTTAATAGGAAAAATAAAATAAGATTTATAATAATGCTCCATCATATTAAGTGAGAATGAAATGGATTAAAGTCAGCTACTCGGTCTAAATTTCTAAATGATATATTTTCTTTTATAACGTTCTATGAATCCATGATGATCAAATTATAATGAAAATTGAAATTCAACTCGGCCAAACATTTTACTTCCTTAGAACGTAATTTGATTTCATTACTTACCCGTCAACAAGATCCTGTTGGACACTTTGGAATGTTCCTTTTATTCCCTGTAAAACACTCATTGCATATCCTAAGAGTATTTAATTATACCCGATATAAATCATTAAAGGTAATTTGAATGTTTTTGTTTTCACTGCGCCATTTTGACATCACATGATGAGCATGTGACATGGCAAGGGAGGTAATCGTTGAAAAGATTCAGAACACTTCTATTTAATTGATGATCAATTAACCACTGAACAATCAATCTTCATAATAATACTAAGTACTGTATTGCTGTTGACATCGTTTGCCCCTTTGCTGAACATTTATAAACATTAACCAGAAGTGAAATTGCTGTTTTACTGGAAATAAGTAATATATCATGATGCCGACCATAGAACTTTTAAATTGAGACTTTCATTTAAGATTTAACCATGCCTTTTGATTTTAGGTGTCAACAAATAAATCTTTGTATACAAACATCTAACAGCCTGGATATTGACCTATACAACTAAACTAATTAGTCTTTGTAAGACAAAAATAAGCAGGAAGGTGAACATTAAGAACACAAGTTATATGGATATTATACTGTTTCGAAACACATACAATAGTTAACGTTATTAAGTAAAATGATTAATTTTAAACTAATTAGTATTCATGTTTGTACTTTAAATTTGAACTTAATTAACCCTCCAGTGTTCTGGAGTAAAATATATTTTCTTATTTTATGTA